GGGGCTTGTGTTGGTTTTAGCCAGTCAGTGAAAAACAAGATCATTTGCAACAGAGCTTTTCCATAGCTCCTTCAGAGATTTTTCTCCCACTGATTTATCTCATTTTGCTTGTTCCTTCCCCCACAGATGCAGAGCTTCAGCTATCTGTCTGCAGCTCTGTACTTCTGCTAGCTGCCTTTGGAGGTAGGGGCTTCTTTTTCTCCCCCTGAATCTGCCTCAAACTCTAGCAGCTTTGTCAGGTCATGCATTTTCTGGGGAGGAATCTGTCCCCTCTGTTTCTTCAGAGTCTTTCTCCCAGACAGTTCCCAGTTTGGTCTCAGTTTATCCCCTCTGCCCCAGAAACAGTTTCCGACACTACAGTGGCGGCTTTTCCTGCTACTGAAGGTAGGGGCTTTTTGTCCGCTTGTTTTCCGGGTCTGTGTGGTTTGCGTACAGACTGAAAATCTAACAAGGGAGGTTTTTGCCATTTCTAAACTCCCATTAGGACAGGTGCTTTGTCTCATCAGGCCTTCACCTGGCCTAGTCCCCCAGTGGGTTGTGTTTGCTTGTCTGGGTGCTCAAGGACAGAGCTTATGCCAGAGGCAATCACCCCTTAGGCCTACACTCCCTCATCTCATCAGGAGTCAGTTGAAACAAAGCTTTTCTCAAAGAGGTGCTTTCTCTGACAGAAAAGAAAGCTTTACTCCTGGTTAGTTCTGTTCTGCCCTGGCTGGGCTCTTTCCCCAGACAGCGTTCTGACTCGGCAGCACGACTGCTTCAGACCCAGTTCAGCTTTACTGTTTTCCCAGAAAGGTCCTTTCTCTGATAGGAAGGCTTTTCTCAGATTTCTTTTTGCAGCTGTGGACCTATCAACCCGGGACTTGTAGGAAAGTGGACAACTGTGCCGTTCCCACCGGCTTTAGCTTTGTTTATTAGCCATCTTCCCCTGGGTCCTGCACCTTCCTGCCTCAGCTCTGTGCTCCAGGAAGTTTACAACTACAGGAACCCTAGTATCCCCGAAATGCACTCCAACTCAGAGATGCTGGCCAGTCACCTCTGGGTTTTTGGTCAGAAGCGAGGATACAATGCTAACAGTTTGCATTGCTTCAGGGGATCTTTGCATTAGGAAGATTAGGAGCACCTTTCCATTCTGAAAGGCTCACTCAAACAAAGCATTTGATGCCTCAGCTCCACTGTAACTGAAAAGCTTGGCTTTTTTGCTTTTCTCTGGTAAAGTTTCCAGCCCTTTTGGGCTCTCTGTAGCTCTTTACCCACACTCTCCCAAGCGTTTCCCTCAGGGTACTCTGACCCACTGTCTTTTACTAGCTTGAAGAGACAGAGCTTAGAAAAGGTTTTTAGGAACTTGTTCCTGCCTCCTGCATTGCAGGGAGGATTGTTAAAGCTTGAAAGAACTTAGAGAGGTTTTGCTGTCTTAAGTTTGTTGTTTTCTCTTAGAGCTAATCACAGGTGGTCCCCATACTAACATCTTCAGGTGATTCTAATTTTTGTCCTCTCTCAGAAGGACAAATTTAGTTTTTAAGTTTAAGAGAGCTTTTGAGAAAGATTAAGGCTTTTTAGAGAGATTTTTTTCCCCCAAATTTTCCAAGAAAAGCTTTAGAGTTTAAGAGAAAGATTTTTTTTCCCCAGGAGAGAGACCAACTTTTCCCAAAACTTCCCAACTTTAAACTTTGACTTCTTACACCCCCATTTTTGCCTCAGGGAGAAATTACTTTCTCCTGCCGCTTGGACTTAGCATTTCAGCTTCCCCGGGTCAAAAGCTTCCATAGGAAACTTTTTCTTCTCCATAAGCTCAAAGAAGAGCTTTTTTACTACCCGTAAAGCCCAAAGAAAGATTTTTTTTTCCCCAGTTTGCTTTCAAAGCCCCCAAAGTGAGAAAATTGAAGAGTTTTTCTGTCTAGTTGCCTTACTTATTTTTTCCTACACAATCTTACACTTCTAAGTTTTTCCTAAACTATATTACTACCCTATACCTTATACTTATCACAGATAGAAATTGAGAAAGGGATAGAAGATAGAAAATTTTGACAGAAGAGAATTTCGCTGCAGCATCGGACATCCTTCCAGTCCGCTTTCCTTTTCTCTCGAGGATAAAACCCCTGCCTCACCAAAAAATATATATATAAATATATATGTATATTCCATAAAACCGGCATGCCTTTCCACTGGCAGGGCTGACTCAGCACTTTCACCAAAAACTCTGTAATAAAACTATTATTTTCCTTTATCTTTAGTCCCTATTACTTTGTCTTTAGTCCCTGTTCATTTGTCTTTAGTCCCCCCTTTTTTTGTCCCTTTTTTCTTTAGTCCCTTTTTTCCCCTTTCTTTAGTCCCTTTTTTACTTTAGTCCCTTTTTTTCTTTAGTCCCTGTTCACGGCACCATTCTGTGGGGCGTTTACCCACCACCCCCACAGCTTCCCAGAGTTTTCTTGAGTGCGAGCAGCAGGAAATATTAGATAGAAGGATTTATAGCGGAGAATCTTGTGGAGATAAACAGATAGAAAATAAAGGATAGCCTCGAGAGGGCCTGGAACCTATTCCAACGGGCCCCGACTGTCTCTGGTCCAGGGTTTTTATAGAGACGCCAAGGGGTGGAGCAAAAGACCTCCTCCCCCAGCACAGCCAAGTGCAGACCATCTCAGACACCTGCACTCAGGTCGGTGGTCCTAATCATCCTCTATGTGGAACTGCTGGGTAAAGCCACAAGGAACCTGAAAACGGGCTCCCACAGACCTGGAAGGAGAAAGAGATAGAGAGGGCAAGCCTGGAGTCCTAACATCCCATTCGAGAGAGCAGACCCTCAGGGAGCTAACTTCGCTGGTGAGGCTTCTATCACTTCCTGGTAGCATCTCAGGCTGGTGGCCAAGCCTTTTGAACACTGGAGCTGGGGAAAATAGTCAAGATCGAAATCACAACAGTGGTTCTCTTCGGATGCCTCTCACTGAGAGGGCTGGAGAGGAGCAGAGGCAGGCAGATGAAGGAAGACTGTTCTCATCCCCCTTCATTCCTCCCAGACTGAACATCGGCAGGCAGCTTGCTTTGCCTTTCCACTCAACTTCAGCGTGCCCTGTGCTGGGTTACGAGTCTTTGCCAGAGCTGGGCTCCCTGAATAAGGATCCTTACTCAACTACTCAGTAGCTGTGCATCTTGTAGGTGAGTTTGCCTGACTGTGCTTGCTAAGGGCCAGCTCTGGTTACCGTGGCAGAAGTGCCTTTTTAAGGAACCACCTAGCATCACCCCAACAGCTGACTTGATGCAGTTCAGTTGGTCAGAGGAGCCAGGTGAATGGAGAGGACCTGGACTCGGTGTTTACAAGCCATGTGACGGCCCTGTCTCAGCTTCAGTTTTCTCCTCTGGAATGCTTCTCTTGTCTCCTCTTTTTCTATACTTCCTTCCATGCTTCCTGACTGATTTTACAAACAAAATAATTCTGAAAAAAATTAATGCCAATATAAGCGCTCTTATAACAATAATGCTTATAACCTGCCTCTGCCTCCCGAGTGCCGGGATCAAAGGCGTGCTCCACCCCCCCCCCCCCTCCCCACTAACCTACTGGTTTAACGAACCAGGCTTGCTTGAGGGCAGAGGATCTATCTGAATTGTCCATCTGTTCTGTTCTCTTCCACTCCAGGACAGAATCTCAGGTGAGGTTGTGCAGCCTTCACGACCCTGTTTAGATAATAAAAAGCCTCCAGGACCTGTCCAGACACTGAAGAGAACTTTCCAGGGCAGTGATCCCTCCCTCAAAACTGCAGACTCTCACCTGCTTAACCCTTGCCTGCCCTTCCAGAGGCCTATACTAGGTAAATACCTCCACTGGGCAAACAGACCTAAATACTATCTCCATCCTTCTCCCTCCAGATCCTCCCGCAGTCACTATTTGCTGACTATGGATCTTGGTGGTCTAGCACAGCGGGCAGCAGGAGGCAGAATAAATACTTATTTGAAGAAGTTGTTATAGGCATTGGCACCCCATGGCATAGCGGACACACACACCGCTGGACACACACCGCTAGCTTTAGCCTCCCATCTCTTTGGAAAGCCATCTTCTAGGCCACTCCAAGACCTGTCTATGCAATTCCTGTCCTTAGCTGGGTGACTGACTCATCCTTCCCTTAGCCCTGACTTCCATGAGCTGAAGGAAACCTTTCCCTTGGGGTGAGGGAACAACAGTCATGTGCATACCTCCCGGCATTGTTGTGTTCCCTACCTAGCATTCCAAGGACAATCCCACAATGCGCTGGCGAGCTGTGTCCCATTCCCTTCAAGCGAGGACCTGGGCAGTGAAAAAGATTCTGCTGGTAGAGGAACCTACCGGCGCCTCGATGCTGGAGTCAGTGAGTAATCTGAGGAAATGGGCAGGGGGGCCTGGCTGCCATGAGGCCAGCGTGGGTGACCACAGGTTCATCTCGGTCCTAGAATCAGTGCTGGACCATTTCCAGGTCCTTTCTCGGGCCATTCTTTCGAGAAGGACCTGTAATTGGGACATCAAACTGAAGTTTCTTCTAAAGATCCTGTAAGTTGCTAATGTCTTTTTACTAAATACCTGTATATTTAAAGCGACTGGTAGAGTTCTCTCGTTAGTGACTGCGGTGGTCTGAATGAAAACGGCCCCCATAGGCTCATAGGGAGGGACACCATTAGGAGGTGCGGCCTTGTTCAGTAGTCGTGGCCATGTTGGAGGAAGTATGTCATTGGCTTTGAGATTTCAAGTGTTCAGGCCAGGCCCAGTGTCTCTCTGTTCCGGCTTCCTGGGGAATCTGGATGTGGAACCCTCAGCTCCTTCTCTAGCACCATGTCTGCCTGCATGCAGCCATGTTTCTTGAATGATGACAATGGACGCATTGAACTGTAAGCCAGCCCCAATGAAATGTTTTCCTTTATAGAGTTGCCATGGCCATGGTGTCTCTTTACAGCAATAGAAACCTTAACTAACAACTCTTACCAAGACACGATCCCCCCACACACATACACACACTAGAAGGCTGTTGGTAAGTTCTCTTCAAATATGACCTCCAGTTAGCTTCCTTCTATGGGCCACATTATTACCAACAACAAAACTTGGATAAATACAACCATCTGCCTTCACTGTTGTTGGATAAAAGGCAATTGGCAAAGCTTCAGGCTTTCAAACTGTTATTGTGAGAGTCACACACCAGGCCTGAACCCTAGGCTCTCCAACTATCTGTGCATGCAGCTTCTCCTAACTTAGCTTTCACACCTCCATGCTGCAGGCACAGAAATTCTTAGCACTCCCATGATGCACTGGTATGCTCTCCATCTAATGTTCCCCAAAGGCTCCTGTGTCAAAGACTTGGTCTTCACATGGTAGTATTATTGGGAGGTAGTAGAGATGTTAGAAGGTAGGGCTGAGTGGAAGAAACTAGGTCATTAGAAACATTCCCTTGAAGGATGTATGTGGACCTCGGGGCCCATGACTACTTGGCCACTGTGTGATGAACAGCTTTCCTCCGCCATGTGCTTCTTCCATGATGTGTGAGCTCACTATGGGCCCAAAGGCAACAGGGCCAAGGGACTATGGGCTGAAAACTCTAAAGCCGTGAGCCCAAATTAGACATTCCTTTTTTAAAGTTGGTCTTCTTAGCCGTCTATCACGGCACTAGGAAGCTGACTACCACAGCCCCAGGAACTGCACTCTCCACTGGCCTCCTCGTGGCTCTTTTCTTTCCCTCGGCAGCCGAGGAACAACAGCTGATGGGCTCAGGTTGCCGCACAAACTCTGTAATGTCATGGCTTATTCTGCAAGGCGGTTTAGACCTTTGCTTCAGTTGTGGCTGCTATGGTACCTACTGTGCTATTCTCATCTCTGAGGGTTTCTGGGAGAAGCTGTAAGAGAAAGACATCCCCCTTTTAACATCCTGTCTAGAATACACTAGCATTAGGAACTGAAAATTTCCAAAGAAAACCACACCAGAGGCTAGAGAGATGACTCAGCAGTTAAGAGCACTTGATGCTCTTTCAGAGGACCCAGGTTCAATTCCCAGCACCCACATGGTGGCTCACAGCCATCAGTAACTTTAGTTCTAAGAGATGTAATGCCTTCTTCTGAAACTCTGAGAGTGCCAGGCACACATGTGGTATATATTTATACATGCAGGCAAAACACTCATACATGTAAAAGTTAAATAAATCTACAAACAGCTTTAATAAATAAAAAGTAGGAGGTATAACACTCTAGTAACATTTTTTGTTTGTTTGTTTTTGATTTTTCGAGACAGGGTTTCTCTGTGTAGTTTTGTGCCTTTCCTGGAACTCACTCTGTAGCCCAGGCTGGCCTCGAACTCACAGAGATCTGTCTGCCTCTGCCTCCCGAGTGATAGGATTAAAGGCATAGGCCACCATCGCCCAGCTAACATTTTTTAAAAGAAAGAAAGAGAGAAAGAGGGAAAGAAAGAAAGCCATAACAAAGTTAGTATGTCATTCAGTTTTAAATTTTTCATCAAATTCTCATTCAATAAAATGAATTGATTCAAGATTTCCCATCTGTGCTGTCCACACTAAAAAGACCCACAAATTCGTGTTGACAGGTTCCACTAGATTGACTCCGGCAGAAACATTGACAGTCTGCGCTGAGCGGACAGATTGCCACAGCAATGGCTGGGCAGGGAAAGAGCTTTCTGGTACTGTTGCCCACAGCTGGTCCTCATCATATGGATGCCAAGGATGCTGAGAGAAAGCAGTCAAAGAAAACCTTACTGGACTCCTGTCTGTGAGCCAAGCACCTTGGAGAGCACCGGCTTGAGGTGGGGAGGGTCACGTGCTCCTCTGTTGTTTAATCCCAGCCTACCATGGTGAGATCCACCAGTCAATCGAGATGGTAGATTGATTTCTTTGCATAAAGGACTTTCCACATTGTTCTATAGAATGCAGCAGTCTTCCAAAATGGAAGCAGCAGAAGACGTTCTGTCGTTTGTTGGCACGACTGCTCCGTGTGGCTGCCACACACATCCCTTCACAGTCTTGCTTGACCACAAACCAGGGTACACACAAACCCCTATATCCCAACTTTGACCCCAGATATCTCACTTTACTTCTTTGAACCCCCAAATCCCAGCATCTCTTCCCCATTTCACGTGACCTGTACCATTCTCGACAAACCAGGACCTGCCACAATGCATATTATATAATAGATGATGTAGTTTGTGGTAGTCAAATGTAAAAGAAAATACAATTCAACATTGCACACATGTATTGGCAACCTACTGGACAACATGCATTTGAATTATAAGATGCAGGGCCAACAAGATGGCTCAGCAGGTAAAATCATTTGATTTGAAAGCCTTGAGGACCTGAGTTCAATGCCCAGATGGAAGGAGAAAACAGACTCGCCAAAGTTATCTTCTGACAATTGTGCCCCCCCCCCCCAAATGCATGCACACTTAAAAAAATCTTGCTGGAGCCTGTGATATGGTACCACAAATAAAGTACTTGCCACACTAATCCTGATAACCTTATTGATCCCCAAAACCCACAGAGATGTGAAAAGAGAAACAGAGACCACGAGATACTACCAAGTGGTTTTTTTGACCTCCACATGTACACTGTGGCACACACATCCCTGCCCCACCTCACATCATGTACATATACAACAATAATGATGGCTCTTCCCATCTATTAGAAAAATGTAGCCTGGCCAGAGTGTTGGGAGTCCAGACTTAATGTACTTAGTCACCACAGACAGATGGATAAACTTCATGTATATTGACTTAGCCTTCAAACAGATTTGAGACATGGTCTTATGAAAAGATTTGAATAAGTGTGTCTAACAACTTTAGTATTTACAGTAATAATTATTAATAATGGAGACATTGTTGGCCTCTGATATGATAAAAATAACTTAGAAACATGTATTGGCTAGTTTTATGTCAACTTGACACAAGCTAGAGTCATCAGGGAGGAAAAAATTTCTCAACTGAGAAAATGCCTCCATAAGATGCAGCTATAAGACAATTTCTTAATTAGTGATCAATGGGGGAGGCCCTGGCCATCGTGGGTGGCACCATCCCTGGGCCGCTGGCCCTGGGTTCTATAAGAAAGCAAGCTGAGCAATTCATGAGAAGCAAGCCAGTAAGCAACATGCCTCCATAGCCTCTGCATCAGCTCCTGCCTCCAGCTTCCTGCCCTGCTTGAGTTCCTGTTCTAATTTTCTTTGAAGATGAACAGTGATGTGGAAGTGTAAGCCAAATAAACCCTTTCCTCCCCAACTTGCTTTTTGGTCATGGTGTTTTGTTGCAGCAATGAAAACCCTAACTAGACAAACTGTGATTAAAGTCCAGATCACAACCAGTTACAAACATACCCTTGTTTGAAATAAAGCTATGTCTGCCACTGAGATCTAAACACTCATTTGTCCATATTTATTGACTGTCTATAATGCACCAGATGCCATGTTGGACATGGAAGGCAGAGTGGAAAGAAAGACTCATAAGATCTCAGCCTCAAACTGATGTGGTAACACACACACACACGTAATCCCAAACACTCAAGAGGAAAAACAGCATATTTGTCTTGAGTTTGGACTTAGCCTGGGCTACCTAGTGAGTTCTGGGCCAGCCTGAGCTACAATGTCAGACTCTCAGGAGAAAAAAAAAATCCAAAGAGGGAAGAAACTCAGCCCAGACCTTAAAACATGGATGGTTAACCAGCCGCTGTCTATAGAACGAGAGACACAGGTCTGCCAGATGTTTATTTGTGTGAACTAAGGCACCTCTTAGTTCCTTGTTCAGTATTGTTCATCTGCCAGATGGGTATAGGCTCCTGCTCAGCCTGTGCTTTGTTACTGCTCAGCCAGCTGTGGCCCGTGGGTGGCATCACCTGGTGGAAAACATGGCTGTGGCCTCCTCTGATGCAGGCAGGCTGGTCTCCCGCACAGTGGGTAGACGGGGCCCACGTGTTGACATAGTCTAACATGAGTGGGCAGGTGTGAAAGACCGATGGCGGTCAGAGGACAACGTGCAGAGGCCCAGGGAACAGAGCGGCCGCCTGTGCCAGTCTAAACACAAGGGGCCAGATGGAACAGCTGACTGGTCCAGCCTTGCAGAGCTGCCTCTTCTGACCTTTCAGAACCTCTAGTTTCCACCGATACTTAGGTTTGGTCATGCATCTTGCCTTGAGGGAAAGCCAAATCATACGCTAATTCATCTTCCCCCATTTCCTCCCAAGCTCTCAAGAAAAAGGAACTCCTTTATTTGACCTCCCCATCTCTGTCTTTGCTGCTCCCGTGACTCTCCATCACCCACTCTGAGAAACTGGAAACTCTCTGACGCTACATCTTTCTCTTGCCCGTTCGTTAGTGAAGTTGGTTGCCATGGAGACAGACCGGACCAGTCCGTCCACTGAGCATGGTTTGGGAGTTCTCTAGACCCGAGTGCTAGTGTTGGTCAGCAAACAAGCAACAGCTACCAGAGTCTCAGTTTCACAATCTGTGAAAGGACACTAGCATCTACCTCACGCTCTCACTGTGGGTTAAATAGACTGCTACAAGGAAAAACCCCGGCAGGAGGCTGGCTGTGCTGAGTGAATACGCATGAAACACCGGTGGTTGTCTTCTTCCTGACAGGTCTTTGCTCCGTTGTCTCACCGTGTTTTCTCTGACACACCCTGGAAGGCCAATAAAAACTTCCTTGTCCTGTGCGGTTTCCTAACCCAACTCATGTTGTGGCCAACTGTCACAGGTGCTCTCCCAAGAACACTGGGTGGTCCTTCACAGCCCAGATCAGGACGTTTTGATGGCCTCTCCAATGCCAACCTAATAAAAGTGTGGACTCTAGATGTGTTTTCATGTCTCAGCTTCTAATCGCTCTTATCCCTCATTTCGGGTGTCTCCCACCTTCCCAAAGCAGATGAATCACTGACTCCCCTCAAATCCTCCCATACCTGCCCTTCTGTTGAGGCTTCTCCCTGCCTAGAATGCCAGCCTCCACCTTCTTTTCTGTCCCATCCGTCCCTCCATCCTTTCATACCCATTTTATTTTCACCTTACCCGTGATGCTTTTCCGAATCCTTAGTTAGCATAAATCTTCTGAATCTCCACGGAACACTGTAGTTCCTAGTCTCACTGGGTACGGTGACAGATGGGTTTTGGGGGGTGGGGTGGGGTCTCGTTCCTTGTTTTCTTGAAGGAATTAATCCAGTCAGGAGACAGTTAAAGCAGAAGTTTACTTAACAAAGTGGCGGCTTAGTTAAAGCTAAGTAGAACACTCCAGTGAGGGACTGGCGTGGGAAGACCCAGGCGGCCTTTCTTCGCAGCGCACAGGTAACATTGTGGGCCTCAGCCTAGTGGGTTCTACACTGTGGACTCTAAAGACCTCTTATGAATATGTTATGAATAGTTAGGGCGCTCCAGGCTTAAAGCAGTGAACTCTGGGGAAGCCTGGCCCGCTCCCTGCAGCCGCCAGCAGGAGCATGCCCATCTATCTCCCTGCTGTCCTGGGCCTAAGGCAACTTGAATTATAATCGCATATTAATCAGCTCTAAGTCTCCCCTTCCCTGTTCAGCCATCTTACCTACCTTCTTCAGTGTTTCCATCCTCGCCATTTTAACCCTGACATTTGGGGCTGGCAAGACGGCTTGCTGTGTCAGGGTGCTTGCCACCAACCCTGATGACCTGAGTTCAATTCCTGGGGGCCCACACAGTGAGAGGAAAGAACCACTTCCTACAGGCTGTTCTTTGTCTTCCACACATGTGCCCAGGCATGTATGCTGCGCACACAAACGTTCTTCCATGCCAGAGTACACATCACCTTTATGCTACTCCGGCTTCTCAGTCGAATAGCTTCAGTTTTGTGACACGCAGATTAAAGATTAAAGATGTAAAAAGGGTACGCAACTACTAGATACAGCATGAGGCCTCACCATGCCAGAGAGAACTTGGTTTCCTTTCTTCGCAGCTTACAGGTGACTTTGCCCTGTTTGGAATAGAGGGCCCCCGCTATCCCGGCTGCAAATGACCGAGGAGGGCTTTGTACCTGAGACAAAGGTACCTGTTTCGTAGACTGTCTTTAGACCGTCTTTTCTACTAGGTGTCCTTGGATACACATTGAGTGGGAGTAGCTGGCATTGTGCAGTGGCCAGAGGCCTCTCACCTCAGCACCGTGGAGTGCTGAAGCATTTGTGAGAAGCTAAGCAGCCGCAAGAGACACCAGTGAACAGACACCATGAGACAGAAATGCTCCCAGTTCTTCAGCGGAGGCACGGACAGTTAAAGCTGGCAGGTGTGCTGTGGTTTAGAAGGAAGATTGTCAGTCGGGCCGTGGTGGCGCACGCCTTTAATCCCAGCACTCTGGAGGCAGAGCCAGGCAGATCTCTGTGAGTTCGAGGCCAGCCTGGTCTACAGAGCGAGTTCCAGGAAAGGCACCAAAACTACACAGAGAAACCCTGTCTCGAAAAACAACAAAAACAACAACAACAACAAAAAAAAAAAAAAAAAAGGAAGATCGTCATTGGAATTCCTGGGGTACCCTAACTATTCTTCTCTAGGCCCCATGGGATTTAGACTGAGAAGAATGAACACAGTAGAGATAGAGCGGGAGATGCATGGATGCATGGATGGATGCATGCATGGATGGAAAGGGAGAGAGAGAGAGAGAAGGAAAACTAAAGTGCTTAGCAGTTGAGGCAGCAGCTTGCCACAGGTATCGCCTGCCTCCTAGATGACCCTTCAAAGTCTCCAGAAAGTGATGAGTTCCCTGGCCCTGTCCGACTTCATCTGATAGAGCAATGGATCTACAGCCAGCTGGCTACCCTGCCTTTTCACCTCTGAGTTGGATTTCATCAAAGCGTTTCTCCTTCCAAATCTTGCTCTGTTGCTTATCAGTAACTGGAGCGCC